AAATAATGATGAGTAAATACATTTTGCGGGGTGAACTATCTCTTTAAGGCGGCGCGCGCTGCCGGGAACTCACGTCACTCCGCCGCGGAGCGTCCAGATCAATGAGGTTCCGCCGCGGCTCCGCGAGCGTCGCTTCCCGGAAGGTGTTAACCATCGCGCTGCCGCAATGTAGCGCCAGTTTGCGCGTTTACTTTACAACAACGCGGACAAGTTGAAGTGTTGCGCGCGGGGCGAGGCCAATGGATGCGCGAGCGAGTTAAAATCGCCTGCGCGTCGCGAGGGGAACATTATCCAGGCGGACGCGCCGCTCATTTCGCGGAAGAATAAAAGGAGAGGAAAGTGGAAACACAATAACTTCCTGAATTTCAACGAGACATGTCCGATTCCCCCTCGCAGCAGCTCATTATTAAGGTAAATCTGCATTTTCTGTGTCGCGCGCGCTGTGTGAATGTGCTCGCGCGCGCGTGCGTCTCCGTCCTCGACGCGATCATCTGTTGCTGAGAGTTGATATTGATCAGGATCGGCTATTGATACTTCACGTGGGATCGATCGGTCGCTCGGTGTGATCACGGGGAAAAGTTGACGGCGAGTCTGAGCTGTAGTTTGCCTGTTTAGCTTACTCGTGTTGTCTATAGTTGTGTACTACCGAGGGTCACAGATGAGCCGCATTCATTAAACACTTATAAATAAATAAATAAAGAAAGAAAGAAAGAAAGCAGATGCGTTTAAGTTCATTCCTCAAATCTGTTTATCCCGAAGAAGCTGATCTTCCTCTTCACACACTCTGTGGATGTTTGGGTTTTCCCTCATCAGTGTGCAGTGCTCACTCAGTGGACAACACTCGCTGCTTACTACAGTAAAGGGGATTTATAATGATAACAGTAGCTGGGCTAAACTTACTTGTTAATAAATAATGTCATATTTATATAATAAATAAACAGGGAATTCATATTAGCAGCCAGCATGACAGTCAGGGTAAACACTTTCACACAGCCAATTAAATAATGCTAATGTTGTGCTAAAGTCACTTACATGCGATTCAGACTGAAAAATCAGAGTAGCTGTAAACAATATAAGAGTGTCACTGCTCACAAATGAAGGAATGAGTGAAAATAAACCAACTTTACCTCAATATAAAAGTACCTGCAGAAGTGTTTATCAAGGCAGTGTTAACAGTTAAAGGAGCAGACCATTAGTACTGTGTGTGTGTGTGTGTGTGTGTGTGTGTGTAAGATCTAGTTTTTGTGGTGTAAAAGGGATCCTCCCCCTCCCAAAAGTGACCCCGAAGACAACCCTTGCACCCTAAATGTGTTCTGCATTCATGGAAATATAATCTTCTAATGTTTTGGTCATTTTAGAAAAAGACAGCAAACTTCAAAGTAAAGACACATCATTGTCTGGGTTTATTTTCTGCTGTTATAACAGTGCTCGGGTCAGTACACTGCAGGAATAATAATCGGACAGCGGCATGGGGACTTTGTGCAGGTCTCTGACCGATCATCACGGACATTGTCCAGTCTTTATTATTAGTGTGTGTGTGTGTGTGTGTGTGTGTGTGTGTGTGTGTGTGTGTGTGTGTGTGTGTGTGTGTGTGGTTATTGAGTAACAGAGGCGCGGAAATGGCGTTATCTGCTGATCTTTGAACACACTCGCTCTCGGTGTTTCCTTATGGCATCTTCATATCCTTCATTGTGTGTTGATGTCATGAAGCCTCTCACCTGGCCCGTTCTCACTGCGCATGGAGGAATGCAAATGCATATCTAAAGGTGACATACGAAGTCTCTAGAGTGTGTGTGAAGCTACAGCTCAAAGTAGCACGCAGATAACGTTCTCCAACTCTCTGGAACTGATCCTGTTTTCATCCAGATTGTGCTGTTTCACTAACACTCGCTTAATTCGAATGAGATTGTGCTCTTTTAGCAAGAAGGCGGAGCTACAAATGCGTGAGTCTATGTGGCTCCTGTCGCTGTTCATCTAGAACTCCACATCTATAATCCTCTTAGTCTATGCTGACATCATCTTCAGCAGCTCAAACACTCTAATGGATAATGCACAGACGGCTGCTTCTCACTCAGGGCTGCTGGTTATGCTAATGAGATGGAGACTCGTGGGCGGGGCTTTAACCCTCTGACACCTACAAAGGGAGAATGTCAATCAAAGTGTTTCATTCATCAAGTCTGATTCATGTTGAGCATTAGAGGCGGGAGATATTCACACACTGCTGGGTTTAAACCCCTTATAACAGTGATTTATGCATATTAGACGCCGTTTAACACTTTAAATACAACATCATCCTCTTTAGTTGTGTATGCGACTCTTCTGTAAATGGTGTTCACACTTGTCTGATTCAGTTTATTTCTATTTGGCTGATTTTTTTTTAACAGTGTGAACGCTGATCTGGAGTCTGATGTGCAGCAAAACTTCCAAACAAACAAACTGTTCCCGAAATAATTATCATTCAAGTGTGTTTACACTGTTTTGATTCGATTTAAATAAGGACCGTGAGTTTGAGCTTGCGTAAAAGTGCCGAGTTCTGTTGTGATCCAGATCAACAATCCAAGAGAGCTGTGTTTTATAACTGAGTGTGAACACCATTAGTGCTCTTAAGCTCCGCCCCTCAACCCCATTCATAAACATTTGTGAGCCACGCCCACATTTTAACAGCCAATCAACAAGTGAATTTAAGCACTTGATGCTGAGCCCATGATTCTGTGCTGAAAATCCACCAATCAGAGGCTGCGTCTCGATCAATAATAGCTAATTAATTATATATGGCTTTAATTAAGGGTGGCTCAGTAGTTAATACTGTGGCATTGCAGCAAGAAGGTCTCTGGTTCAAGTCTCAGTTGGTGTTTCTGTGTGGAGTTTGCATGTTCTCCCCGTGTTGGCGCGGGTTTCCTCCGGTTTCCCCCACAGTCCAAACACATGCGCTACAGGGGAATTGGTCAATTAAATTGTGCGTAGTGTGTGAAATGTATGTGTGTGTATGGGTGTTTCCCAGTACTGGGTTGCAGCTGGAAGGGTATCCACTGTGTGAAACATATGCTGGAATAGTTGGCGGTTCATTCCGCTGTGGTGACCTCTAGAATAGAGGCTAAGCTGAAGAAAAATGAATGAATATTAATTAATTAAAAAATATTTGAAAGACTGTGCACCAAAACATGCGCCAGAATAACACATGTACAGCCTAAAGTTGTACTCGGTCAAAGATGCGCTTTAGTGTTTTAATGCTAACTACCTGTTTGGGATTTGCATGATTTGCCTAGAATATCCCAGGTGTTTTGGGCTAACGCTGGAAGCTCTGACAGTTGCAGATCCTCCACACTTCAGACCTGTGTTTGTTCATGTGGCGGCTTGCAAATCAGCTCACAGTGTGTGTGTGTGTGTGTGTGTGTGTGTGTGTGTGTGTGTGTGTGTGTGTGTGTGTGTGTGTGTGTGTGTGTGTGTGTGTGATTTTTGCATGCTTTCATTTGCGCTGGACACTGAAAGCAGACGTGTTTGAGGAAGTTTCCAGAGAACCGCATTGTGTTTCCTGACTCTCAGTTTCAGCCTGGAAACAAACACAAGCGCGACTCTGGGGGGGCGGTGAATTTCAGTTCTCAGTGTAAATGTTATCGGCAGAGAGGGACAGAAGTGTATCTCATCTGAAGAGTTCATAGTATTATTATTACACATGAATCGAGACCTTTCAGTTTACTTCACTTTCTTTGCTTAAATTAAAAATAATAATAATAATAAAATAAAAATAAAATAAGTTAATTTTTAATCTAATCATGACAAACTATATACTGCTGGAGAGGTCAAACTCTTCTGAATATGTATTTTACCACTGCTTTTGTTTTGGAGAAGGATTAAAACAGATTTACACATTAGTTTACTGTAAATCTGATCCAATAATGCAATTCACAAGCCAAAATACAGAAACTGTTGATGGTTTTAGTGTGTAGTTTCCATTGTATAAATAAATAAATGCAATGTATCACTGTTAACGCTCGCACCT